GTTTGTCTAAAAGACATATAAATTATTTATTTGTGTTTAAAAGTTTACTGCTCTTTAAATACATTTTATATTTGGTAAAAAAACTTACGTTGTAGCAGAATATTCCTTCATTATGTTCTCCTCCTTGCAAGGAAAAATCCAAGAACGCAGAAATCCAGACCGTAGAAGAATGTCCTGGATGAGAAATTTAAGAGAATGATTTGGCTGTACCACTAACGAATTATTCAAAACAGCAGTAAATAAAATTAGAATCGGCCTAATGATATCAAATCTCCGATAGGAGAGGCACTTAAAGAAGAAGATGTTCTCCTCGGCAGGTTCTTTGAAATTACGGGATTGACTGTTATAGAAAAATCGTATTACTTTCATGTTAAAAAAATTAAAAGTATGGCTTACTTAATAACTATCACCGCTACTTTTTCAGCCGCCTCTCCAGAATACCGTGCTCGTCTAGAATAGTCCAAATTAAATAATTAAAAAAAATAATTACTTACTTAGTACCTACAGTTTCCTTATAGTGTATTAACATTACCCTTCTACTACAATGCTAGTAGTGATAACCACAAACATACAATCCACAAAAACCAGACAGATAGTTTATTTCTTTAAGAGAAAATAAAATTTAATGAAAAAATTCTTGGTTTACTGATCGATTTTATAAATGATATTTTCACTATATATTTACAAATCAGTTTAATAAAGATAATAAATAAAGAAATAAATAGTCTTTATGAATTAATTGAGCAATATCTATACAACACAGCTTTTCACAGATATACATGTGCTAAGCCGATTCTGGATAAACTAGATACCGACAGTTTTAAAGCCTTCATACCAGTGAGAATTTTACTACACATAATTTGCTGTGTAAAGAAAGATAAACTAGGGATAGGACAGTCGGTGTCGATTCGCTCTGTCTAAAGATTGCGCCTACGCTTTTAAACAAATTTTGTTTTTTGTTACATAGTGAAAAATTCTTCTAATAAATTAATTTTATCTGACTCATTTATATTGACAATTCAGACATACATTATGCATTTTAAAGTAGACGACTTTAAAATGATATTGTCAATATTGTTGAGTTGCGCTCCTGGGACGACTTTACTTGTAAAATTCTCCTGTTAGTGATTCCATAGTAAATTATGAGGGAAAACCCAGGAAAAAACCTATCCCGACATTGTAAGTATTTGTTCATGAATTTAGTTAACCTTCAACAAACATCAAAATTCTGATTTTATATGTTACGTTATTTAAAAAACATAAATGATGTATCCTCCATAATATGTTACTGACTTACTAATACTGGTATTTTCTTATTAATAACTTCCTCTTTCAATATTGGTAACCAGATCCTACTACATTCTGCCGAGGAAATTTGCGACACAATTGGCCTCATTTAGCATAATTAGAGCCTCTTCTTTGATTTTTCTTTTTTTACCATCCGTTTCTTTTAGGACTACATTTGAATTATTCCATTGAACCCTATGTTCATTATCTCATGCGTGTTTACATATTTGAGATCTATAAAATTCTCTATTTTTAATATAAGATTGATGTTCACTTATTCTACCATTTAATGGCCTTGATGATTCACCTAAATAAAACTGATCGCATTCACAAGGTATTTTATAAATGCAATTCTTTGTCCTTTCTTGTTCATTGTTAGGTTTGGTTTTGCACAAAATAGATCTCAACGTGTTTGTTGTTTTAAATGTTGTTGAAATGTTGAATTTATTTCCTATCCTTTTAAGTTTTCTGATAATCCTTTTATGTACGGTATTGTTATTTTCCTCATATTATAAGTGACACTATCGATGTACAGCTCAAATAAATTACACTATCGATGTACCAGCCCAATTTTCACCTTAAAATACAAACTATTGGACTTAAATTTTCTAACAGATTAACTGACAGTATGAAACAACGTGTGAGTGAAGCGTCTGGAGTATCTTTACGCACAGTACAAAGGATCATTCAACAAGCGAGTATGTTAGCAAATGAAGAGTCAAATAATACACTAAAATTTACAGCTGCAACACTTGCTAGAAGGAAAGCAACTGTGACAGACTTGAGGGAGTATGACAAACAGTTCATTAGAAATACCATTCATCGTTTTTATGAGACTGAACGTTGTCGAGTATCATTGAAGCTTTTGCAGAAAAGGCTTGAAAGGAAGTGTGAGTTCTCTCTACAGAACTGTGAAAGAAACGAAAGAAAATTGACGTTTATTAATTGAACGGAATGATATTAGTGGTCCACGCATTAAATATTTAAACAAAATTAAATATTAAAGAAGCGAAGATAAGTCAATTGTATATGTTGATGAAACCTATGTACATGCACGACACACTAGGCCAAATAGTTGGACAAATGATAGTGGCAAAGGATTGTTCAAAAACATTTCAAAAGGAAGTAGGTTGGTTATCGTACATGCTGGTGGGGAGTTGGGATTATCATGATATGAATTCAGAAAATTATGAAAGAACAGTTAATCCCAAATTTGCCTGTTGGATCTGTTGTTGTTACTGATAATGCGTCGCATCATAATGTACAAATTAATAAAGTACCCACCAGTAATTCTAAAAAAATGGATATGACATCTTGGTTGACAGAAAAAAATTTACCATTTGTAACTTCAATGTTAAAACCGCAATTGTATAAAATCATTAAACGACACAAACAAGATCATATTCAAAATAAATTTGACAAAGTGCTGCAAGAATGTGGACATATTTCTTTAAAACTTTCGCCATATTATCCCTATACAAATTGAACCCTATACAAATGGTTTCGGCGCAAATAAAAAATGAAGTTGCAAAACAAAACGTTTATTTTACGTGTTGGTGGAACAGGAATTTGTTAGAGTAACTGTAGATAACTGAAAGAAAGTACGTTAACATGTTGTCAAGGTTTAAGATAAGTATTTGGAAAGTGAGCGTCGCATAGATGTAATTACTGAAGAATTAAGGATTGATTTAAATTATTCTAGTGACGGCAAATGGCAAGCCAAGCTTTTGTGAAATTCAGACCGCTCCTATGTAATCAAAACCTAAATTTCGAAATACGCTACAGAATGGTCAAGTGCTACATATGGTCCATCTTGCTTTATGGCATGGAAACGTGGACTTTGAAAAAAACATCTATCAACAAACTTAAAGCATTTGAAATGTGGTCATTGAGAAGAATGATGCGCATACCTTGGGTGGATAAAGTTCGAAACGATGACGTCCCTAAGAGAGCCGGAGTAGAAAGAGAACTCTTTGAATTAATTAAAAAACGCAAGATTGGTTACCTTGGGCACATATTGAGAGGAGCAAAATATGAAATACCACAGTTAATCATACAAGGAAAGATCGAAGGTAGGAGAGGAACCGGCCGCAAACAATTATCCTGGTTAAGGAATATTAAAGAATGGACAGGAATACACAATACAGGCGAGCTGTGTCACGCCGCCAAGAACAGAATTATAGTAATGAGATAGTCACCTACGCACTTTGGTGTATGGCATGTTAAGAAGAAGAAGAAGAAGTGACGACGATAGTGCATGTGATTATGAAAGTGAATAATACAATTTAACATTACGATGTACCTATGTAACCTATGTGAATAGAAGTTTTTCAAACTGTCCTTTATGTATGTATTATTTTTTTACTTTATTACAACCATTTCGTATATTTTTCTATTTAACTGTGTGACGTTTAAGTGAGTAATAATATAAATAATATTGGTTTTAAGGTTAAAACAATATTTGTAATTAATGTTCATTAATACTGTAATCTGTATCTATGGTTTCACATACAGACAATATACTTATGTATGTGATGGATTATAATAATATGTATTAAAGTGTAGTACAATACTGCCAAAAGTAGGTATAATCTAATATTGTTTAATAAATTGTGTGTACCTATCTTTAACAATTTGATTTAAATCATAAGTATTTTTGGAACGTTACTGCTTTGTTTGGTGAGGTTTACTGTTCCTAGAAATTTCCGTCACTACAGTTGACATACTCTACTTGATGATATTCTTAACGGAGTGGTGCGACTGGTGTCATAGTGCAGTTAAACTGGCACGAAAATGAGAACCCGCCTTGTTTCTTCCTAGTTAGCGCGTGCTATAGATGCACTCTCAACTTAGCTATTTATTAAATATTGAGATAGATATTTAAGGAACTAGAGACTGCTGGAAAGAAGATAAAGAAAAAATAACAGAGGTGTAGGTATCATTAGACAATTGACAACGCTTTAACAGAAATATGGTGAGATAAACAAAAGTAAGACATGTTAACAATGGGAATTATTAACACGTAAGATTTTTAAAACAAATATACCGATCCATTTAAAAAGAAAAGCTTTTAACCAATGTCTACCAGTCCTCACATACGGAGCAGAAACCTTAACTCTCACAAAAACATCAGCCGAAAAATTGAGAAGAACACAACGAAAGATGGAGAGATCAATGCTTGGAATAAGCTTAAGAAAGAGAATAAGAAACGAGGAAGTTCGTAGACGAACCGAAGTGGAAGACATTATCGAACATATGGCGAAAAAATGGGGCAAGGCAAAAATGGAGATGGGCAAGACATGTTGCAAGAATGAAAGACGACAGTTTGACAAAAAAATTGCTTGGGTGGAGACTACGGGCTGACAAGCGAAGCCGAGGAAGACCCCCAACGCGATGAACAGACGACCTCAAAAGAATCGTGACCAATTTGATAACAGAGGCGCAGAACAGAAGCAGATGGAAAAGTCTAGAGGAGGCCGATGTTCAACAATGGACAACTCAGGGCTGATTGATGATAATGATGATGAAGATTTTTCGGACTATTTGATCGTCAAACACGGGATTTTTGTCTTTTAAGAATGTATCACAAAATCGGAGTCAACAAGGAATTTAGGATTCAGAAAGGCTAAAGCAAATTCTAGTATTTACCTTTTGATTACATTAAAATTATGTTTCTAAACTCCCTGTTAAAGATTTATAAAAAAATATTTTATTTATTAATACATTTATTACTTACATAGGTAACGATTTATCCTAAATTCTAATATAATCAAATACAAAAATATATACAAAGGCAATATAAAAATGCTTGATTAAAAAATAATCAGTCACGATAATACAATACTTCAGTTACTTCTTCTCTTCGTAATATGCTGTCGTAGTTCGCTGGCGTATTTAAGCAACATCCCTCCCATTTCTTTATCTACAAGGCTGCTAGGCAACCATAGTTTTAGATCTGTATTGACGACCCAATGTAAAACGCACTTGTTAGGTGAACTAGATACTTCTATAACGTAACAGCCAACACCGTTTTCACCTCTAAAACATAAATTAATTAACAAAATAATTATCGAACAATATAATTCAATTATTAAATATACATAATTGAGTATTATATTACTATCATTGTCCTTGAGAAGGAACTGTACAGAATGGAATAGGTGTACCAGCTATGAGTCAGGTTAGATAAAAAGAAGAAAGCACACAGTCATTTTCACATCAAAGATTATACAAAAAATGTGAATGGGACATCAGTGATTCCCAGTTCGGGTTTAGGCAAGGTTTAGGAACACGAGAAGCAATAGTAGCAACACAGGTACTGGTCCAAAATTGTTACGATCAGAGGAAGGATGTGTTCCTATGCTTTTTAGATTGCAAAAAAACGTTTGATCGTGTCCAACACCACAAGTTAATGCAGATTCTCAAGAAAGTTGATATAGACCAAAAAGACATAAGATGCATTGAAAACTTGTACTGGCATCAAACGGCACAGTTAAAAATAGACAATTCTATATCCAAACCCATACATATAAGAAGAGGCGTTCGACAGGGATGTGTGCTTTCCCCTCTTTTATTTAACATTTATTCGGAAGCCATATTTCAAGAGTCTTTGGAGGATGCAGAGATGGGAATCAAGGTGAATGGAGTATTGATCAACAACATACGATATGCTGATGATGGTGTCTTAATTTGTGACAACATAGTCGATCTTCAACAACTTGTCACTATAATCGGAGAATACAGTGAGCGAATGGGACTAGAGATTAATACCAAAAAGACCAAATTCATGATCATCTCCAGAAACTTGGATGCATTTGAAAACTCCACCATAACACTGAATAGTAAATCCATAGAAAGAGTGAGTAAATTTAAATACCTGGGATCGTGGCTTTTTGAAGACTGGGCATCGGACAGAGAAGTAAAATGTCGCATTGAGCAAGCTCGACAAGCTTTCGTAAAATTCAAGAAGGTACTGACTTGTTCTGAGTTCGATCTTCAATTGAGACTAAGGTTTACTAACTGCTACGTATGGTCAGTGCTGCTATATGGCGTAGAGGGCTGGACACTCAAAACGAGGTATATAAACAGATTGGAAGCTTTCGAAATGTGGCTTTATCGCCGTATCCTAAAAATACCATGGACAGCGAAAATCACAAATATAGATGTCCTTAAAAGAATAAACCAAGAACGCCAACTTTTCGAAACCATCAAGAAAAGGAAAACGGCGTATCTAGGTCACATAATGCGAAATGAAAAATACCAGTTCCTCCAACTTATAATCGAGGGTAAAATTGAAGGCAAGAGAGGAATGGGACGCAAGAAAATGTCCTGGCTCCGAAACATAAGGCAATGGACAAGGATTAACGACATACAATCTCTGATACATATTGCAAGAAATAGAGAGTTAATGGAAAATGTGATCGCTAACATCCATTAGTGGATTTGCATCTGAAGAAGAAGAACACAGTCATTTAGACCAAAATTGACCATATGCAAAGACAACTACTAACAGAGAAACAAAAAATTATAATGAGATGGAACACATTGAGGAAAACCTAAATGCAGACAATGGAAATGATCGAAACGAGACAATATATTTTACGGCGGAGCAGCACATTGAAAATCCGAGTTATGAAGTAGTTCAAATAATAAAGAAATTAAAAAACAGTGAAGCGCCAGGAACGGAAGGAGTTTCGGCAGAATTGTTGAAATATGGAGGACCTGAACTCTGGGGAAGAATCCGTTATCTGATAAAGTTGGTATGGACCAAGTAGCAAATGCCGGAGGAATGGACATGAATACGATATAAAACTATACATCACTTGTGGCATCACTTGTTTAACACATTATTTTTAAAGCTTTTTTGTCTCATCACTTTTTCGAAAAACTAGTTTTTTCCTAGTTGGCCATAAAATTACAATTAGTTTCTACGGATACAATAATTACAAGGTTCCATCAATAATAGTTAATAATTTGAAGCTATCATTTATTGTGTGAATAAGATTATTTCTGACCATTGATCGTCGTTTACAGGAAACTGGTACATTCCAACCACAAGTTGATGGCAATAGTGGTCGTCTAATAATGGATGCAACTGATGAAGACATTTTAGAAATCATTGAAGAAGTCCCTGAAACAAGTACAAGGGTAATAGCTGCTCAACTAAATATTCCTCACTTAAGAGTTTGGAGGCGTTTGAAGGATCAGCTATTTAAACCCTATCACTTAACAACGGTTCAAGTGTTATTGGTTGAAGATTATCCTAAAAGAATTGGATTTTGCAATTGGTTGTTAATGGAAAACACTCGAAATGTTAATTTTATTAGAAATATTTTGTTTACCGACGAGGCTTCTTCTTCTTCTAGTTCCATGACCGTTATCGATCGTTGGATATCATGTTGGCTACCATATTCGCTATCGTGACTTTATTGACAGCAGCTCTAAATAACGATGTAGTTGATTTTCCATACCATTGCCTTAGATTTTTCAGCCGTGATGTTCTTCTTCTACCAGGACCACGATTACCTTGGATCTTTCCCTGAATGATCAGATGTAAAAGATCATATTTTTCAGGGTGTCTCATAATATGACCGAAGTATTCCAGCTTGCGTTTCTTTATTATATTGACCAGCTGTGTTGTTTGGTTTAGCCGTCTAAGGACCTCCTCATTTCTAACTCTGTCGACCCAGCTTATTTTCAGTAGTCGTCTGTATACCCACATCTCAAAGGCTGTCAAGCGTTTAAGCATAGCCTCAGTTAGGGTCCACGCTTCTACTCCATACAGCAGGACAGGAAAGATGTAGCAAGATATCATACGAACTCTAAGGTCAATGCTAAGATCATGACTGCAAAGTACGTTTCTCATTTTTACAAAGGCAGCTCGGGCTTGTTCTATTCGGCTTTTTATTTCTGCGGTTGGATCCCAGCTCTCATTGATATTACTGCCGAGATACACGAGTTTCTCTACTCTGTCCAGTGTGGCATCTCCGACTTTTATACCGTCATCATGTATATAATTTTGTTTGCTAACTATCATATATTTAGTTTTCTTAACGTTGAGTTTTAATCCATACTGATCACAAGTCTGTTTTATTTTGTTCATTAGATTTTGAAGGTCTTCTCCGCAATTGGCAAGGACTAAGGTATCGTCGGCATATCTAATATTGTTGACGGTTACTCCATTCACAATAATACCTTCGGTTGTCTCCATTAACGCCGACGAGGCTACCTTTAGTAAAAATGGAATAACAAACCATCATAGCGAACACATTTGGGCCGACGAAAATTTTCACGCCAAAAAAACGACATATTTGGGCAGGAATTGTGGATAACAATCTAATATTTTTTCCCAAAAATTTAAATGGTGATAATTATTTGTAGTTCTTGGCAAACGATTTACAAGAGTATTTGAAAGAAGTGAATATTGAAAAAAGCAAAATATGTGGTTTCTACAAGATGGCGCTCCACTGCATTACAGTAATGAAGTCCGGGAATACCTTTGCAGGCAGTATCCTGGTCGGTGGATTGGAAGGGGTCGTGACGCACCTATTTCTTGGTCACCCAGAAGTCCAGGTCTTAACTCATGGACTTTTGCTTTTGAGCGTCTATGAAGGAGAAAGTGTATTCTGTAACAATAGAGGATGAACAACAATTGAGGGTTAGAATAATGGAAGCTGCAAATCAATTTCGTCAAAAAAATATGATGTTTCAGCGCATTCGGTTTTCCTTATGCTCAGTGTAAGTATCGTGGTCACTAATTTCTTTATCGATAAAAACACTAATCGAACTGTCGGAAACATGTATTTCATCATCACTTGATAATAATTCTTCATTTATATTCATTGTAAATTATAAAACTAGACACAACCTCCCAATACACATCTGAAACAAAACTAATAAATTATGATCACACTGCGAGTTTCTCACAATTCTGTGATTCCCCAAAATGCTTAGTTTCGCAGCTTGTTGCAAGATGGCATCCAACTGTTTTTTAAAATCCTGAAAGGTACACAAAAGGTTAAAAGAATATAAAATGTTTATTTGGAGTTTATTAGAACATTTCCGTCAATGCCAGAGGCATACCGACTAAAAGAACACCCTTCTCAACCATGAATTACCGGCCAGATCGAATCAGGGTGATTGAACGATACCGAATGTGTATTGAAGAAAATGGGGGTCATTTTGAACATTTATTGTAATATCATATTTATAGAGGTTATAGACATTTTTTGTACTTGTTAATTCATTTAAGCCATTTATTTAGTTGAACGTAATGTTTTAAAGGTTAATAAAAAGGGCCGTAACTCAATAAAAACTGTTTTTTGAAAAAAGTGATAGGAGGCAAAAAAAATTTAAAAATAATGTGTTACACTAATGATGCCACAAAATTCATTTGATTTGAACGTACTCAAAAGTTTGGGGGGATTTAGGGCTGCACAACCCCCTTAAAAATTTTCTGTGCGGTTAGATTTTGTTGTCTCTTTTTTAGGAAAAATGCTTTTAGAACAAGAAAGTAACGTGTCCATTGTTATTACAAAGTGTGAGATAGTTTAGGAGATAAAGCAAAAAAACAATTTTTATTTTGTAATTTCAAAGGGCTGTAACTTTTTTTGTGTACACTTTTGTACTAAGGTAAGTTGGATTCAATCAATTTGTTTTTGTCCCCGAAATGCGCGATTTAATTTATGACATACCTTTTTGAAACACCCAGTATAATATGTATATAGAGACTTTAAACAAGCTTTTGATAGTGTGAAAAGAAACAAAATGCTGGAAGAAAATATGAAAATATATCAGTATCATAAAAATGACGTTGCAGGGTTAAAAAGGTACAGTTAGAGTAGATGGAGAACTGTCTCCCTATTTGACATCACCATGGGGGTGAGACGGGGAGACGCTTTTTTAACCATGCTGTTCAATCTAGTTCTTGAAGCAATCAACAGAAAAACCAATGTAACCGGCCAGATAAACACCAAAATAGTACAGATTACTGCTTATGCAGACGATGTCGCCATTATTAGTAGGAGCAAGACACGACT